AAAAAGATAACTTGCCACCCCTCCCCCCATTCCCACCCCACCCCAAAGGTGACCACATTTGGTCAGAAGAAACGTGAATATAAAGACTGCTTGCCAATGAGAAGTGTCCTACCCCCCCCCCCCCCCCCTTAGGTTTTTCGCGTTGAAACTGTTTTTCCCTTGTCAAAAAAAATTTAAGTCGGATTTTTTTTGGAGTTGGTTTAGTTCCCCCACACCTTCCTACCCCCTTTGAAAAAATCCATGGACCCATCGTTGACTCTAACATTTTTTTTATTTTACCGAAATGCCTCAATCATACTGCCAAAAAAAAATAAACAAACAAATAAATAAAAAATAGGATTTCGAATGAAAAACTCTACTAAGAAAAATGCCCCCTTTCGAATACTACGTGCCTGAAAATTAAGCCATCCTATGTATATCAGGCCCGTAGGAAGCAATTTCAGTTGGGGGGGGGGCAGCCATACATTTTCAGTTTGGGGAGGGGGGCACTATCAACTACCAAAATTTCCTTGAAGAGCAAAAAAAAGTCATCAGACTTTTTTTTTAGGGGGGGGGGGGGGGACAAACATATAGAAGCTAGGTTTTCTATAGTAATCTATATATGGGGGGGGGGGGCATGCTCCCCCGGTTCCTAATTTCCTACGGCCATGTATATTGTCTTAAAATGTTAATCAGTGTACAGTCATTTGTAACGAGGGTTGTACTGGTCAATTAAACTTGACAAGAACAATTAATACATAAGACTGCGGTAATTACCATAGATCTACAGATTTTACTCGTTATTGAAAATTGAATAATTATGAATTTTTTCAAAGTGTATGACATTTTTTTTTTTTGCTCGTCATCTCATTTTTTCTTACTGACACCCACCCCCACCTCTTAGAAAAAAAAAAAAAAAAACGATGCCCCATATGCCTGAATATTTTTAGTAATTTCCATAGGGACACATATCTAAAATATGCATTTTGCTTCTGGAAGCACATTTGAAGTATGTCGCATAAACGAAAATACGTGTATCAAAACAAATACTGTCGATATACGAGCAAATATACTTTGAATATTTTATTTAGTCAGAAACCAGACAAGTATCCTTCCTTTGAAAAAGGATGAACATTACTTTTCACGCTTTTATATGCATGTGCATAAGAATTATTTGATTGGCATGTAGGTACAAAAATAAAGATTGATTGCGACTACATGTTTATACAAATTTTCTGTTTGTTTCCACATGTGGATTCGTCAAAGACATGTGCGTTTTACGCACCCGCATATGAGTTCTATTTTGGATCCAGTTTACAGAAAATCTCAATGTTAAAATTTATAGTTTTTTTAAACTATTTTTTTCCTCTTTCTAATTAATACATTTAACAAAACAACAGCAAGCTAGGTCCATAAAAGAATTAGAAAACTTTTTTTAAATTTAGCAAAACCACAATGACTACATCCTTTATGACGTCACAAATGACGTATATAATGAGTAACGTCACATACAACATGCATGATCATAATATAAGTTTTTTCCAATTTCGATTTCAGAAAATGTAATTTATAGATTCTGTTTCCACTTTATCGTCTGCACATGAAACAAACAATCGAGCGCTTCTCTATCATGTGTGTTATCTATGTATCTTCAGTGTAATATGAAGCACCCATTAAGGATTGATTATCAACAATATATTATTGATTCTTGAAGGCATCAAAATAAACTGATATAAAGTCAAATTTCGTATTTGCCACAATCAGGACCGACGAAAATAATGGGCATGTACATTTGTATTTGTAGTATTTATACAGATTGTAAGTATGACAATTGTTCTTGCCTGTGGCCTCGTCTTTGACAAAAAAAAATCTGTCAAAAAATCGACATTTTTTATCGCATTTTAGAAACCATCACATGTTCTAATCGTCAGATGTGCCTATCGGCGCATCATATAACATTTTTTTTTACATGTGGGATAGAAGTGTGTTGTCCACTTACCCAGTAAATATAATACCCCTCTTGAATCGATGCTTTAAATTTGTGTAAAACACGAGAAATACATGTATATGATAGTTTGTGGCCATGATAGCTCTTTCACACGCAATATCAGGGGTGTGCAATTAGCATCGCCCGACGCCCGGGGCTACCATTTTTTTGGGTCGGGCTAGTAGTTTTGTGCACGGAGGTAGCCCCTTGGGCTAGTAAAAATTAAAACTACCAATGTAATACATGAAAATCACTATCGGTATTTTCACTCATTTTTTGCTATTAAATTCTCAAGCAATGAACAATTTTCGGCAGCATGTTCCTATTGTTCGTAAATCTCCATAATCTTATCCATTTTGCAGTACTACCCACTGGCGGATTTAAGGGGGGGCGCGGGGGGCGCACGCCCCCCCCCTAAAATTTTCAAAGCATGATATGACTAATATCAATAATGCCATACTTTGGTATATAACAAACCAATACCGCTATTTTTGTGCCTGGTTTTACTCTTAAAATACACGAAAACCCAGGCGCTTCCGGGGGCTTCGCCCCCTGGGCCCCCTCTATTCAAAGTACGATATGACTAGTATTAATAATGCCAAACTTTGGTACATATAAACTAACCAATACCCCTATTATTGTGCCTGGTTTTACTCTTAAAATACACGGAAACCCAGGAGCTTCCGGGGGCTTCGCCCCCTGGGCCCCCAACAGGGCTCCGCACTGGACCCACTGGGGGCCTTAAGGCGGCCCCCAGACCCCCTGCCTGAACAAAGTTATCCACCCCCCCCCCTACTCACAAATCCTGTATCCGCCCATGCTACCTGAAGTAATTTACTTCCAAAAACGATCGTTATTATCTAATCCGAATTTCCTCTATTCCTCTGTTTATGGTAAATACACCTGCAGATATCTCATTAAATTCTTTACGATCACTCAATCAACTGAAAATAAGTGATATGTGGTTTACATAAAATATATTTCCAGCGTATTTAATGATTTAAAATGAAAAAATGATTGTCATTTCATTTTAGATAAGATAATTTATTTGAATTTATTTTTATTTTCTATCATAATTATTAATTTATATATGATTTAATTTTACTACTGAAAATTAAAAATAATCAAATTTATTTTAAACCCTGACTATTTCAACAATAAACTATTTCCTTTTAATATTAGTTGTTACCACCCCCCCCCCCCCTACATTTGGGCTAGTAACTTTTTACTTGGGGCTAGTAACTTTATTGCTTCCACTAGCCCGTGGGCTAGTACTTAATTTTTTTAATTGCACACCCCTGAATATGATTTTTTTCTTTTTTCAACAAGAGCACACTCGTTACGGGTAAATATTTTCATTGGAAAACATTTCTCGAATAGTGATTGTTACTTTTCTGTTTTAATATTTTGCCGCAAAGAATGTGCCCTATGTGTAAATCACGATTAACTGTGCAATTTTCGGCATTTTCCCGGAAAACCTCTAACCATGGTGAGGTTAAGAATTTAGTTTGACATCATTAATATCCGGTTTCGACGGAATTGTTACACGTGTGAAATGTGTCAATGTTCTAGGGTGCGAATTACCAAAAACATTTATTCTAAAGCCCTCTTTATTTTTTTCATATTTGCCAGGCCATATAAGGCATATTGTGGGTCGAGTTCTTTAAGACTGTTTCATGATCCTGGGGCCTGGTCTCAACAGTTTTACTGATTTGTAATATTATTGAAATTTCTGCCACAAAGTTTTTATATAAAAAAAGTGTAAATAAATACATTTTAATAAATTAAAAAAAAATGTACAATTGTATTCCATTCATGTTCTGGGGTTTGTGTGATTACTATCTTCGTATTTTATTTTTGGCATTAAAACTGCTACATACAACTGTATATGGAAAAAAATTTATTAAGAATACTTAATTGTTTTAAATCTCGGGGCCTGCATTTACTTCATGCCGATACAAGAAGTTTTCAAAGGGCAAGGTCAAAATCTATTGATGACGTAGTTTGATGCAGACAACATGTAGGCCTAGATCTTGTTTTGCACAGTGATTCAAATGTATAAACATGGATTTTTATGTGCTTGAGAGTTATAAATGTAACAAAGCCAGGAAACATTGTGAATTCATGATAGAAGTGATGTTTCACAAACTGTTTAACCCTGTTTACAACAAACTATAGTATACTGTCTAGTGTGTTGGATTTATTTACGAGGCAAAGGTAAAGTTGTAATCTATTAGAAATCTTAATTATTAGAACATATTAATACTCGATTACAGATAGATCTATCATGCTATGTGTTGGTAAAGCAATGATGTCACTTGGTTGAATTTTGTTGTGGCCTCGATCGTTCTTTCCATTTGAGATTACTTTTGTCAGTTATGACTTCTGAAGTAGATATGAGTTGAATCTTACCTCATTTCTTGGTAGTGTTTAAAAGCACTTGTTGACTTGCACGTCGAACACTGTTTTGCACATTTTTTCGCTAATAAATCTGTGTTTATTGGTCACTTGGAAAGTCTCGGGCTATATTGCGTTCCGTACATTGGTAGGCACAGAGCATTCCCGAACGTGTGTTACGTCAATTATGTCACTGACGGCGATGTACGGAAAATCACGAATAATGATGGATCCCCTTCCGAAGTGGCGGCCATTTTGGCAATGTTAAATCCCCGTAGACTTTGAATTTGCCGCCATGTCAATGCACTGGTTGAACTCGAGGGTTCGGATAAATGCAGGAAGTTTGGAAAAAAAATGATCTATCGATCGAACCTTGTTTGAAGGCCAAGGTATTTATACATTTTGAGATATGAGGCGAAAAGTGAGGTCCTTGGTACCGTGATACAGACTATAGAAGACCTCCCCACCTACTTTTATACATAGAATGTACTTGTTTAATGAAACCCGGGGTCCATGAGTCAGTAAGACATTCAATTTCAAAGAAATTGGTTAATCTTTCATACATTTACGCATATGGCATGCTTTAGATATAATATAAAGATATCAATTTCCGTGTTGGTTTAGAAGACAACCGAACCTTGATAGACTATATAAAGCCAGCTTATATTTGAATTTGCTTCTACTGTATTTTCCCCATTTTGTAGTAGAGCCATGATATTGGCAAGCGTGGACGGTGTCCATCTTTTTCTTTGGTTGAAGTATTCATTAAAGCTCTCTGGAGCATAAGTGTAGGCATCAGCACCGGCAGCATAATCTATCCTGTATCCCTGTTGTAAAAGCAGCGTGCAGAGCCAGCGATCTTCCCCTAGAATCAGGAAACATGGGATTAACACTTTAGATTAATGTATAACATTGTCCATTTTTGCTCCTGTCACATTTCAGTTAAACAGTTTTTCGTGTATTTAGAGATATTTCATATAATATCACAATGTTCTTGAATATTGTTACATGTATTGCAGATTATATATATATATATATATATATATATATATATATATATATATATATATATATATATATATATATATATATATATATATATATATATATATATATATATATATATATATATATATATATATACATACCGGTATATACATGCACTATGCATTTTCTAGCTGAGATATGTTAATTTCATGATTTGGAACTTATATTCAGACTTACCTAGATCGTACATTAAGATCTGAGACGCTTCAGATGGTAATAACGTGTATTTTTTCATAACATTATCATCCATCAAAGCTGATCCTCGGAAAAGACTGAAACAGCCGGGGGAACAAAGAACGCACCCAAGTACATGCTCAGTAGCTTTCTGAAGCCAATGTGCCACCGCGTATTCAAATTTCTGATACCAGACAATCGGACCTTTGCAATACAGTATAAAGTGATATGATGCAATATATTTATAGTTTTAAATACTACACTTCCTTAAAAAAAACAAAGCCAAGGAAAAAAAAAAAAAAAAAAAAAAAAAAAAAAAAATATATATATATATATATATATATATATATATATATATATATATATATATATATATATATATATATATATATATATATATATATATATATGTTTTGTTTTTTTTTCAGATACCACTGCCTATTGGATGAATTCTTCCACACGCAGCACCAGCTTTCTCATCTTTTTTCATTCGGTCGAGAAGAATTCTAACAGAGCCAGGAGTGAAATCTACGTCCCCATCCAATGCAAGAAGGAATGTATTTTCAGCCTTTGAAACAGAAGTGCATGAATGTCATCAATTATGCTTTTATAAATATATATACATACATATAATATTGAACATGTGTGATTTTTCCTTGGGATGCATATACATTTTAAAAGAAGACTCAGCGGAGTTTCTGTAACTTTTATAGTTTGCAGCTGGTAAGAAATTCAAATTATACAGTGTATATATAAACTAGGAAGTGCACTCTCTTCATGAAATACAAACTTGTCACAGGTTTTAATATAACGAAAAATAAGATCAACTGTTTTATCCTCGCAAAACTCTGCATATGTATTATTCTTTGTCAGTATGAATATCCATCAAGAATGACGACAAAGAATTTGGTAAGGGACAGAAGCAATTTGTTAATAATGATAGCCATTTGAGAAAGAAGTAAGTACCGTTTTCGCTTTTTGTTTTGTTTTGTTTTTTTTAATTTGAAATTGGCTTGAATATTAGTTCGGTATATGAACTCGTAAACCTTGAAAGAATATGGAAAAAAGGGGGAAAATTCTTGTTATTTGACTTTAGACCTTATTTATTTGGTACATTTCTTTGTTTTAATCAGAGAAAAGCCTCAAAATGATTAATTTCAGGAGTGATTTTCCTTAACAAAAATGTCCTCAATTGTCGTTCACTTCAATTTTTTTATATATTGTGTAACATTCTTTGAAAAATCAAATTTCGCAAAGGTTTTGTGAGCAATGAATGCGCTCTATATGATATATAAAAAAAATACTGAAAATTGATGTCTTCTGCAACTTCTTAAGAAAATACAGGAAATGCACGAGTTCATAATGTCACAATTAGCATTTACAATAGGATGTCTTATGAGAAAAACTATGTTTTTTTTTTAATCTTGCTGCATGGAATTTAAACAATTCAGAAGACATGAGATCTTATTTCTTACGTCCATTTATATTTTAGAAGTAAAACAGGATAGATTTGTATATAAACAGTAACTTGTTCTTTTACATGATTAAGGTAGATACCCTTTGCATTAAGATTTTTTCAAATAATAATAAAACAAAATCTTTTGTAAGGTTTTTCCATACTCTTACCTTTTTCTTGAAACGTTCTTCGGTGTTTTCCTTTTCTGTTTTCTTCTTTGCATTCTTTTCCATTTCACTTTGTATTTCGGTTGTGAGCCGGTATCCCAATAAATAATACATGCACATCACCTAGATTTTGCAGACAAAATTCATGTTCGGTATTCATGTTTAATGACAACAAAAATGTGATTTTTTAATTCCTATATTATATCTGACAGATTTTGAATAAAAGAATGCACCTGAGACCATCGCTTCTTGTGTCGAATTTTTGTTTTATCTTTAAGGTGAATGTACAGGAAATTCTCTCCTGGCATTCTGAAGATAACCTGCCCTCCATAATAGGTCGATATAATAACTGGCTTTTCAAGTTGTATTGGACGAGAATGCACAGAGCTGAAAAGAAAAAGAAAACTATTAACTAATTAGATTGAACACAGTAAATTTGCAAGAAATGTGAAATAAATTTTATTATGACAAATAAAGTAAAGTGATATACATAGATATTCTTTCTCGTATTTATTGGCAAACCATAAAAATATAATAATTGTTTTATATTCAATTAAATACATGACGGGAAGAATGAAATATGTGGAGATAACGAACAGAAATTACACAAAATATGTGTTTTTTTAACCTACTTAAACAATTAAGTTTCAAGATAAATCAATTAAACCAACAACAAAATAAAAACAATAACCAAATAGTTACATAAATGTAAATTCTAAAATAAACTATTTTTAATAGACAAAAACATGTGGACGTCTTATTCTTACCTTGCAGCCTCATTCATAACAGAAGCAAATGTATACACATATTCATTAACATCTCCTTTTTGAAATGCATCGTCGAAAAGGATGTGGGCTAAAAGAGATATGTCTTATATTTTATAGCATGAACGATGGTCGATCTCTGGGCTAGCAAACGTGGTTCTTCTTAGAGCCTCAATTTTGACTTCTTTTTGAAAGGGAGATATACACAGTTTATAAAAAAAAGAACTTGTTTTTCAATTTGATAAACCCAATGATTATAAATACCTTCAAACTTGTAATAATCATGTGGATATCGGTTGTTGTTAGAAATTTCATATTCTTTCTCCTCTAAAAACTGGTCTTCATCCATTCTGAAATAAAATCTGTCTGTTATATACATTGTGAATCATAAACGGTAACAATTTTGATGCACCAGAGGCGCATTTTGACAAATTATGTCTCGTCAGTGATGCTCATGCCGAATCGTTGGAAATTTGAAATATTTGAATTAAAAAAACAAATTTGAAGAGCTGAAAAAAGGGGTATCAAAACCTGGAGCCAAATACGTCGAAAAATCGGAGCTATTCATGAGGAAGATAATCCTAAATTTTGAAATAAATTACAACAATGGATGGACCTTTCCTATTCAGTTTACTTAAAAGTGACTGAATGGCAGAGTTTTGTCATTCAGCCATTCATTGAACATTCAGTCGTTAGTCAGTCACAGTTTCATTACTGTGCAAATTATATAAACTGCAAAGAAAGATCTTATGTAACTGGGAACATCTAAATATCTTTATCGCTTACCTAAAAATCGACTTCAAAAGCTGAACCATTTCTAGACGATTTTCATGCCACATAGTAGCGCATGCGTAAACAAAGGGAGGAGTCTGTAATGGAAATTTTTCATCTTCGTCTTCTTTAATTTGTTTCTGTAACCTTTTATAATGAAGAAATCTTTATTATGTGTGATATTTAAAACTAAACGCAACGTATTTCATTTTAAGTAAACTTTCAAGTCAAAGAAATGACAACTTCTCAAGGGAAAAATGGTTCTTTATGATGATAATAGTTATCTTAATAATATTTACATGAAAAAATTTACAGCGTAATTATATCAGAATTTTTTTTACAACCATTGATGATGTGATTTTTTAAATTTTATTTGAAGATACATGCTTACATGTAAACTATGTTTTCATTCTGACTTCTATTTTCCATCATATTATTTTCCTTTTCTGGGGAACCTGCATCTTTTTTTCTTTTGATGATTTGCAAATGACTACGTTTTCTGTTCAAAATCAAGTTCTGCTCCAGTAGTACTCCACAATATAAGGGATTGACAAATAATCTGCAAGTCAAACAATCATTCAATCAATCATTACATAGCTAAATCATTAAAAGCATAAGAATATCCTACTGAAAAAGTTTATCATTTTTACTAATTTTTTTTTAATTAAGGTCTCAAAGGATTGAACCTTCTTCTTTAAGGGACTTCTATTGTACGAAGGGGCGGTTCAATTTTTCATATAATTACAGAAATTACAAAATAAAGTGGTTTGCCACAACTGGTTGGATTTTATAGATTAAAAAATATTCAATAGGAATACAAAGAGGCAGAAAACCTCAATGCTCAACTGAGTCACTATGACTTTGCTTTTCTTCATCTGCAGATTGATTTTTCTTTAATTCTTAGTAAAATTGCGCCTTTCATGGCTAACCATACCCCTTGAATGCATTCTTCAAGATAGTGTCTCAGTATACCATAACTAATCTGGGCTTTAGTATCCTTCAAAAGATTTTTGAACATCATGTTCTAAAAAAATATACTATTTAAGATTTTGATCCCGTACCGTTTACCCCACTCTGTTAAAAAGGCTAAGATGTAAAGAAAATTAAATATACTTTTCCTGACAAGTTTTCATATGAATACAACTTTGCTGTTTTTTTAGTGGATTTTTAAAGAGAAATATTTTTTGTAAATCTTTGATTTGCAAACTGTAGCAACCCCAACCCGTTTGGTCATAATCGGAATCTACACTACGAGGAAATACCTCCAAACGAATATGTATTCACAAAACTTCGATATTCTTGAGAAGATCTTCTCCTTCTATGATCCTTTTCACTTTTACTCTCATCCTGACCAAACATACGCCTCTTATTATAATTGGAACAGACGTGTTTTTTTTTTTTTTTTTTTTTTTTAAAAACTATTTGAGGATGTTTCCATACGAATCATGCTCTTGCTGTTCTTGAGAGAAGACTTTGAAAAAACATCCCCAGTGTATTTTAATGTACAAATCTAATACCATATAAATGAAATTTTAATCAGTACACAAATTAAGCGGTTTTCCTTAAAAATCATTATAAATTTTTACTGAGCAATACATCTGTAATTATAACGATTAAATGATGGATGCCTAAAAAGACAACAGTAACCTCTAATGCAGAATGAATTGTTAGTGAGGTATAATTTCAGCGTTCTCACCACCCTCGCTTAAAATGCCAAAATGAATCCTCGCTAAAATTTTCCGTGATCGTGGGTTTGAACCCCGGCCGCGCCTGACTCAAGTCGATAAAAAATTGGTAGCAAATGTTCCTTCGCCGAGTGCTAAGCATTTTGAAGTGAAAGGCGCGGGTCCTTCGGAAAAGTCTTCAAAACCTGAGGTCTTATCTCACGTCAGGCAGATCAAGATTACGAACGTTAAAGTATAAAAGAATTTTTTAATGAATAGAAATTGGCCAAAAAGTATTTTTCCCTTGAGGCTTACAATTTTATTATACGAAACATTATATTTCTATTGTTTGCTTTAATCACACCAAAATAAAATTTTAGAAAGAAATTCCACGAACTTTTGAATCAACCCTCGTATTTTACATATATATTTCCAAATAAAATGAAGTTCGCAAGTAGAGATTTGAATCCCAAGCAGTCACAAACCAAAAAAGTTATAAATATATGTAAACTCCTAAATTTTGATTATGCTCTAAGATTGATTTTTGATATTTCTACTTCAAGGTGATCGCCCGCGTGGCGCAGTGGTTAGTGCATCTGCTGTAGAGTCCCGGAGTAAGGAGTTGATCCTTCCGTTGCGGGTTCGAATCCACTGCGGGACGTGGAGACCAGTCCTTCGGATGAGACTGTAAAAAGCGATTTCCCACGGCGCAGTAGATGTTGGCACGAAAAATGATCCCTCACTGCTCAATGGCCATGAGTGCGGAGCATAGGCTAAACTTTGCAGCCCTGCACCGGCAATTGCTGGCGTCTCCATATGAGTGAAAAAAAAATTCTCGAGAAAATTACATTTTCTATGCTATTCACTGTGTGAATACATGTTTGAGGCATATTTTTTAAACTACAAATTCTCCAACTTATTGTGAATTTATCTTGATGTTTTTTTCAAAATCAAGATTATCTTTATTGATGGAAAAAAAAGAGTCAAGTACATGCAAGCAAATATATATATATATGTTCTATCGTGTTTCCTCATAAAAATATTTCAAACAGAACACTTATATTTTGAAGTAAGCTGTGCATACTTTTGCCAAAAAATTGCATAATTCTGCGGGAAAAAAAATAGAGAAAAATTCATACATGTACATTTCTATAAAGTTACATATTAGTGAGAAGGTTTCATATTTAAAAGAAAGACATGGGAGAAAGACGTGTTTGGAAGACCAGACATTTCAAAAAAGAATTATTTTCCTCTGATCCTTATGAAATAACTTTCACAATCTTAAGAGTAATATCCCTTTGTGGTGGAATGCACATTTACTCTGTAACTCACCTGTAAATATTTTAAATCTTTCCACGCTTACGGAATGTTTCGCACCCACCCTGTATAGTCAAAGTTTGGGACATAAAAGAAAGCATAATGAGCATACACGTATATGTTTAATTGGTAGGACACTGCCCCATAAAGTTATCAATACAATGGAGGGAAAAGCGGGTCAAGTCAATCGACTCCATACTGTTCCTGTTAAGGGAAATTATCTTTGTAAATGTAAAGGTCGTCAACGCAGGTAGCTTCGTGGATGTAGAGAGACTGCAAATATTTCCATTATCTACCTTGATTTGCGTAACTTATCACATAATGAATAAATACTAAAATAAAAAAAAAGATTCACCTTTCTACTTTTGCAAGCCTTTCTTGCTGTGGAGTCCATATGTGTTGTCCAACCCAGTATAAGGAAAGAAGCCAGAGTGAGGCAAATGTCACGTGATACCAAGGACTGTAGATTGGAATATAACAGCATGCTTCTTTGTCAAAATTCAATATGGAGGTTAAATGGTTTGAACTGCTCTGGCAGTATACTGACATAAGTATTACTGCAACTGGTGTAGATAACAGGCAGGGAAGGGAAAAAGAAAATATTTGCATATGCAGTTTACAGGATGTGTACGCAACATAATATCCAACGAAACCGGATGCGATCAGAATAAGTTTATCCGAATAATCACTAAGTGTTTGATTCTTTGTCAATGCTTCCCAGAATTGGTTTGTGAAAATATTTAATGATTCTCCAACTATAAGATGTGCACATAGTACTGAAGTCACGAGTTTCAATATGGACACACAAATGTAAACATAAGACCTGCTTTCTTCGATTTCATATCTTGTTTTCAAAAGAAACTGCTTGATTTTTCCGGTTCCATTAATCTTATCCAGAAAATTCTCCCACCACAGAGTCGACGTTAACAGAAGTGAAAACAGATATTTAAAACCTTTTTCTGCGTCGATATCCCAGACATCATGGATATACACACTAGCATTCTCTCCGTTCATATACACGGGGGAAATTTCGCTATTAACTACATACTGAGTGTTTGGAACAAGAAGAAATGGCAACACAGATAACTGAAGAAAAAAAGCGACCATGTTCAAAACAAATATAAGTATACGTTTTCGTTGTTCGTTATTTCTTTGGAATAAATTCGTCTCTAATGTGTAAAATGGTTTTAAAAGACCGGGAATGATGGAAGTTGCACTAAGTATACATATTCCTCGAATGGGTCCCAAGTCTGGCAGCAAGTGAAAGACTAATAGGGAGAGTCCGATAGAATGAAGGACTTCTACAGCAGTACTCTTAGATGAAAACAAAATAAATAGATAATGAATATCATTTCATTGCTAACATTTTAAGGCGTGATTTCTGCTTCAACAATGTAAATGTATGCTAGTATTTATACAATTGAATCAACTGCGCAAATATGCCTAAAAGCATAATGTTTAAAGATAAGTTTGTCCTGAAAAATTACAATTAGAAGATGCCCTTTTTGAAATCATTTAGGTATAATTTATTTTGTGTTTATATATTTTTTATTGGCTAGAATTGATAAACATCATAAGCATCATTAATGTTCAACAAAAACATGTAATTTTTTTATGTAAAGATTAAACATAATGAAAGTGTGATTAGCGTTTAAAAGATACACCATTGAAAATGAGGGAATGCGCATGTGCAAATCCATGACTTAAAATGCGCTTTCTATACATGTATTAATTTTTAAAATTTTTTGAAGGATAAAAAAATGCATTATTTTTCTTTGCTGATGCTTTAAAACATTAAAAATAATTACCATAATTATGCTGGTAATACTTGGCCTTTCTATATTTCCAAACCATACTCTCCAAGCACTTGAGAGAAAGGTGAAAATATATGGAGTACACATAGATATGAGAAGGAGAAAGCTATGTACAGCGGGTTCTGACTTCTGCAAAACCTAATAATAATAAATAAATAAATAAATTTTTTTTACAAGATTTTATGAAATCTGAGAAGAAACGTAATACTTTTCTTAATTTTTCTCGATTGGACTTTATCCAGAATTAATCTCAATGTAAGTTCTATATAACAATTTTAAAAAGACTTTTAAGTGTGATCAGTATGTTCTTCTTGAAAATATTATTGAAGTTTTTCAAAACATTTCTTAAATTTAAAAATCACAGGCAATGCATGGAATACTATCGTCTCTTAGATGCTAAACGTTTTTAATATCTTAAATAAATTAAGTTTTGTAACGCACGGTTTTGCTACTTGACGAAGTTGTGTTTCCTCTACTGGAAGTGCTCTCCAGTGAACTCCTCTCCGACCGTACCATTGAGGTAGCTATGACTAGGGTAATTTTTTGGGTGACTAGACTTGTCAACATCAAACCAAACAACATGGCGTATGCGAGTATTTTGATGATTTGAAAGCTGATATGCGCATGAACGTCTCGACGCTTTTCGTCTCTCTCAATAATACGAAAAACATCCCATGATCTAAAAAATAGTTTCAAAGAGAGAGTTAACGAAAGTTTTATATAGCTTATGACAGATATCGCTAGTTAGCCTTTTTAAAGATATTATGATTATGACATATATCAATGAATGTACTCCGAAAACAATGTTTCATTCCTATCAGGTTGTGTCATCAAACATCTGATATTTCTTGTTTTAAGATCAAACAAGTAGAATATAAAGATATATCCTTTTGGAAGGGGGTCAAAGGTTAAGTTCTAGAACATTCTATACAGCGAGTATTTACTCCTTTTTAACTTTCTGTCTTGTTGAATCCCTTTTCTCTATTTTTTCTGACGAAGGTTTAAAACTGTGATTTCCATCTTTTTCTTTCTGAAAAATAAAAATATGCAAACTGAAATTAGGGGGAAAATTAATAACCAGCGGACATTTAATTTCTTTATGAGAATTAAAATATGTAAAATTTGCAATTAGTATTCTATCGTAAACAATTCAATACTGTAAACCAATTTTTATACGCGTGCGAGAAATATCCGCGAGATCCGCAAGCAACTCTAGCTCACGGATTTTTACCGTTGCGAACCAGTCATTCGTTGTGCCATGTTTCATTCATGTAAATATCATGATCGTTTGTAGGACAGTGATGGGCGGCTGCGGAAACAGTTCCTGCGCAGTACAGTTAAGGTGACAAATGGAAATATCGGCGAATTTTTTATATAGAAAATACATTCTTTACAAGGATGGGCGATTCTTTTTAGGGCTTTACTAATATCGGACAAATGTAATGTGGTTGAAAACTACATGTTGGGGAGATTAGATTTCTTATCTAGACGTGTGCCGTAATGTGGCAGTCACATGATTTTATCAAATATACCTGCAGTATTGAGGTCATCTATAAATTCTAATATTGCAAGGGCATAACCAAGTTAAAAATCTTAGCTTAATTTATAATTATTTTCAGCACTCTTTGTAGTTTGTGAAAAGTGCTGCGAACCTATATAGATTCTACTACATAATTGCTAAAATTACGTTTGTTAGACTGTATGTTGAATATTTTGCTGGTCAAGTACATTAAGTATAGATATAATTAATTCATTTGCAAGATATCATCAGGTTCGCAGCACTTTCCAAATATCTTCATACCTCTTGCGTTTATGTGTAAAAGCTTGTCATAATTAGTCCCCTACCGGTGAAACCGGAGGGGACTATAGGTTTCCTCTGAGTCTGTCCGTCCGTCTGTCCGTCTGTCTGTCCCTCTGTCTGTCTGTCAGTCTGTCCCACTTGGTTTTCCGCACTTTTTTCCTAAACGCTAGCAGATATTGAGCTGATTTTTGGTATGTGAGTGTATCTTGATGAGTTACAGACCAAGTTTGCATTTCGTTCCGCTTCATTGATTTTTGACGGAATTACGGCCTTTTCAATTTTTAGGGGTTTTCCTCATTTTTCTTCTTAACGCTTTCAGATATTGAGCTGATTTTTGGTATGTGGCTTTACCTTGATTAGTTATAGATCAAGTTTGCATTTCGTCCCGCTTCATTGATTTTTGACGGAATTATGGCATTTTCAATTCTTAACGGGAACCAGATTACACTTGCCGGTAGGGGACTTGTATTGCTAATGCAATACTCTCAAAATGCTTGTTCATTGAGGGTATGCCCTTGCCATATATCGATTTATTACGACCCTTCTATTACCCTTCATAGAAATATTCGGCAGTATCGCTTGTCTAGGAAATGTAAGTATATGAATAAAATCATAAAATATACATCGCATCCAAGTTATTTGCCTCTTAAATATCTGCAAATATAGTTTATTTAATTACAAAATACATTTTTCATTGTATAAAATATAACTTGATCCGCCTTTCACTGCATACAAACTGCGTCAAATTTTACGATATGACGTCACATTGACAAGTGCATTGCGATTAATGAATTGTTTATATATTGCTGTGTGGGATTTAACCAACGACAAAAATGCATGCAATAGTAAGTTTTGGTGTAGTTTAAAGCTATCCAACAGTTTAAAATAGCAAATCATTTCATTTTGTGGTAATTTGAAGAACATCGGATTTTGTGTGATGTCAGTAAGCATTTCCCGTAAAAATAAGGCCCCGCTTCCTTATTGCAGCCTTAACTGTGCTGCGTGTCCTTAGAATAAAGAAATGATGTTACCTTTTCTTCTCAAAATATATCTTTATTAACGTTCAAAATTAACAAATAGCTAAAATAATTAAAAATTACACTGATTTTGCCTAAAGTAAAATCTACTGTCTTGTATTGGAGTGGTAAATGTGATGTACTGCAATTAGAGATTTTCCCATACTGAGTACTGCAATTAGAGTTTTTCCCATCCTGAATATAAATCCCGAAGCTATCAAAACCTGGATAAAATTTAATTTGAAGAAAAAAAGAAAATAACAATCAACATATATAATGAGTACTGAAATGGAGACAAACCATAAGTTAGATTTCGTGTTAAGCAAAGAAGACAAGTTAGATAATATTCAAAATGTCATTGAGAAGTTGGTTTTACAGGTTTCTAACTTGGAAAAAAGAGTCAAGGTCCTTGAATCGACGTCGAACGACCATACAGAATCTTTAAACTTTTTGTCACATAAAGTCGACGAATTTGAAAAGGAGAAAACCTCTCCTAATACAGGAGTTGACCGTGCATTATCGAGACAAAAAAAGATGATCGAGAGTTTACACAGAAGCGTTTAGGACCTTAGGCATTCACGGGAGGGATTACTAGAGAAAGTGTCAGAGCTACAGTGATATTCAATGAAAAACAATCTTGTCTTTACTGGGCTAGGCAATGAAACGAGAGATGAGGATGCTGAAGCCAAAATAAGATATTTCCTCCGTATTGATTTAAACATCGAGAATCTCATTGAATTCAGGAACGTACATCGTTTTGGAAATTACTGTTATTATGGGAGCTAGGAGACCAATAGTGGCCAAATTTATTTACAATCAAGATAGAGCTATGGCGAAGGACCGTGCATTCATGTTAAAAAACAAGCCTTACGGTATTCAGGAGCAAATACCAGCAGATATGAGTGAGCGAAGGAGACATCTAGTCCCCATTATGCACCGACTCGGTGATGAGGGTAAACTTGTTAGAGACAAACGTCTTGCAAATGACAAGCTTCACGTTCCTAACGAGTCAGATGAATACCCAGAGGAGATGGAAGTCAGAACTGATGAGCTTTCACCTGACCCAACTTCAAGTGGCAACGCTTATGGACGCGATGAGAGTGAGCGCAGTGAAATCTCTGTATTATATAGTAGTATAACAAGATCTCTATCTGAAAAATTGTCTTTTTCTGAATTTGTTTCACTGATTGCCAGCTACGACGTCATTTGTCTTTGTGAATGCTAGATTAACCCAGGCGATGAATTTCACTTAGCAGGTTACAGACATTTCATTGTTCCCAGAAAATGATAAAAGGTGGTGGAATTGTAATTTATTTAAAAAGTTTTTTAAATTCAAAGATAAAATTGGTTAAAACTTATTTGATAGTGTAATCTGCTTAAACGTTGAATGTGAAACCCCAATATTTTGATTTTTTTTGTTACATTCCATCCTAAAATAGTTCTTTTATGAAAAACTCGATGTCATTTTTAATTTCAATTACTTAAGGAATCATATATTGAATTTAAGAACGATGACCCATTGTATATTTTTGGAGACTTCAATGCCAGAACTGCTTAGTGTGACAACTTTAATAGATTTGATAAATTACTACCAGACGGTACTCATTCAGATTTTTTGAGAGATAACTATGATGAAGATCAGGTTCTGATAAAGCGTAATAATATAGATAAATGTACAAATGGTTTGGATAGACAACTTTAGGGTTTTTTTTTTTGTTAATCTACAGGCTTTCGAATAGTTAATGGCAGAATAATTGGCGACGAATCAGGTAACTTAACTTTTTATATGGTGAAAGAAGTTTTAGTTTGATTGATTACATATTGTCTGAAAAAAATCAATTATCCCGGTATAAGTAAGTTCAAATCAGGTAATTTTACAGTTTCCTTTATGCTTCATTGAGAGATTTGGCCATTCAGAATAACTTCCACGTAGTAAACAATTTGTTACGGTAGAGTGACTGCAAGGTCAGGCAAGTGGAAGGACGAAAATTCCAGCCTTGTTAAAGTGTTTGAACAATAACATACACAAACTTAAATGTATCGTTGACGTAGATTTTACTTCTATCGAGAATGCTTATTGCGTACTCCCTTTCTGTGATGTACTCGAATCTAAACCCTATCAAGGCTTAAGTACAAAACTATTTTAAAAAATTTACGACGATAAGCCGTGGTTCAATGAAAAATGTAAACATCTTTTTAATGAGTGTAAACAAAAATTAAATGAGTTCAATGAAAATAAAACACCAGGAAATAGAGAAGTTCTTTGAAATGCCAAATTAACTTAAAAAAAATTGAATATAAATTTACACGACAATACACACGTCATGAGGGCGATATGCTAACATTTTTGAAGAAACAGAATTCAGAACAATTCTTTAAACTTTTCAAAACGAAAAAAGACATAGAATGTTGACTGTATTTGAACTTTGGAAGATTTCTTTGCTCATTTTAAAAACTTCGGTTCTAACACAGACCACAACCATAAAAAAATAATGTTATTCGGATGCCGTGTACAATGAGTTGGATTCAGAGATCAGTTTGAAGAAATACATGTATGTACAACAATTAAAAACTTAAAAAGAAATAAAAGTTGTGGTGAAAATTGTATTGCTAACGAATTGTTCATGAAATGCCGCGATGAATTGCTGCCACTCTTGCAGAAATTCTTAAACAATATTTTTAACTCCGGTTTTTACCCTGAATCATGGTCAACATGTTTCATTACTCCATTGTTTAGAAAAAGGGATAAAAGCGACGTTAATAACTATCGTGGTATATCTATTGTCAGTTGTTTTGGTAAATTATTTACAAGTGTTCTTAACAATAGGATACTAGAATGGGAACATTCCTATGATATATTGTCTGATGAACGAATCGGGTTTCGTAAGGGATTGTCAACTACTAATGCTATTTTTATTCTGCAATCTCTTATAGATAAGTACCTTTCTGCTAAGAAAAGATTATATTGTTGTTTTTTAAACTTCCAAAAAGCCTTTGATTCTGTTGATAGAATAAAATTATAGCAGAAATTATTTCATTTAGGCATCCAAGGTACAATGCTAAGGATAATTAAGTCTCTATACAATAATGTAAAAAGTTGTGTTGAATACAAGGGTTATCTCATTGATTACTTCCACAACAACATTGGTCTTATGCAAAGAGAAACATTATCACCAATATTATTTTCACTAATCGTAAATGATTTCAAGGTTGGTTGTATATCTGAAAACTGCCCCTATATCGATTTAAAGATGTTAAACTTATTCATATTAATTTATGCAGACGGCATGGTTATTTTTGCCGAATCTACACTATGCATTTATACTGAAGAATGGAGTTTTTATGTTAATATATCAAAAACTAAGGTTGTCGTCTTTAGAAGTGGTGGTATATGTTAATTACGTAATAATGAATCCTAGTTCTATAAAAATGCTGAATTAGAAATTGTAAATGAATTTAAAATTTAGGTACTTTATTTAACTTAAATGGAAAAATTTAAAAAACGCAGAAACATGCTGCTGAACAAGGTAGAATGCCATGTTTGGGGGTTTCACAGATGTTCTGATGTAGAAAAGGTGCATTTAATTTTTTGTAAGGATATGCTTGGCGTTGGTAAGAAAAAACCTCAAACAGTTTGATCTATTCAGAGCTTGGTCCTTTTCATTAGCAATGAAACTAAGAATATTTATGTTCCCCAAACGAAGTTTGATTTTCTAGTTAGGTCTTCCGTTCTCAAAGGATGACCTATAGTGACTCTATTGTTTCTTACTATGTTACCCCGGACGAAGTATGGGAGACATATTGCTTTTGATCGACCAAAAACGCTGTCCGCACATTTTCTCAAAGATTGCTCTGTCAATCTTAATGAAACTCCACTGTCAAAATGATCACTTATTAAAGATGCGGAATCTTTCTTCAGAATTTTCAAAATGGCCAATGTTGCCATGAAAACTGATAAAAAGTGTTTTTTTAAAAATAAATTTTTAATACAGGAGTTGAAAAATGCGCCAGTAGTGGAAGACGTTTGAGCTTGACTCCGGTGTCATGGGTCGAAAAAGTGCAGTCATTCATATTTATGCTGCATATGTAGACAAAATATAAGTTGTCCTCCAAACTTGAATCAGGAGAACTTAAAAAGAGTTGTTTTTTTTAAAGTGTGAAGAACGGATTATTCTGGACCTGTTTTCAGCCTGAGATTTTTTATGAGCAGTGTTTCTATTAAAAGACACTCGATCCTGTGAACCTATATACCTGTTCCAGCCCAAGGTATTAAAGAAATATTATCGGTTTCATGTCCGTTACAATGTCTGAAAGATCAACCAGACAAAGTGTTAAATCTGAATCGAGTGCTCAAAATAAGAAGACAGCCAAATCCTTATTGGATGAAATCAGACGTCTTAAATCTGACATTATCACCAAAAAAGACCTAAAAAGGTAGTAGAAAACATTTTGCAAAATGTTGTTTCTCAAATCTTAGAAAATAAAATGAAGGAATTTAATGAAACCATAAAAAACAATACACTAAATGACACTGAATGACACTAAACAACTCGCTCGAGAGGCATATCTGACTGCTAATCGTAATGTCCAATATGCGAGGAAAATCAATGGCGTTCTTCAAGAAGGAAAAGAGAATGTCATAGAAGTGGTTCAGAATGTGCGAGTAAACGGGTGCGTTGTGGGAATTCAAGAGAAAGACATAATCGCCATTCACTAACTTGAGGTAATTTTCCATCATGACGTCATGTATTTGTAGTTCAGAGAAGTGAAGGCACAGAGTGCACTGCAATTTTAACATCGCTTCGCAACGGGCTTCTGATCAACAGACTAAAAGACCACCCCAAAATAGACAATGCGTGGTTTTTCAATGGTAATGTTTATGGAGAGGCAATTGTAAGAGAATGAAGTTTGACTTGTTGGGCAATCTTGAAGAAAAAATCAAATAAAAAAAAGTGTAATTAAGAAAACCCAGAATTTTAAATTCCATTCATTTGAACATTCCGGAACTTTAAATTCTATTGATGACGAAGTTTTACTATCACATGTATTCAAAATTAAAATTCCAATTGTGACTTTTGCCTGTACGCGAATGGCCCATAGACATTTTTCGAGCTCACCAACTTTTGAACTGTTCGAATGCTTTTTACAAACGTTTTCCTGTTCTACTATTTCTGTCCTTTCTACACTCTCTTTCTCTTTCCAATTCAAAAATTCGCAAAGAAGCTGCAGGTTCTGTCAAAGTTAAATTTCTTAATTATCAATCATGTCTTTGAAAATATAATCAGCTAACTTTCAAGCGTTGGGGATATCAGCAAACGAAGAGTTGTTTTAATTATCTGAGAGGAATGAATTATAATATATATATATATATATATATATATATATATATATATATATATATATATATATATATATATATATATATATATATATATATATATATATATATATATATATATATATATATATATATATATATATATATACTGCCTTCAGGACACACATTGTACACCTGAAATAGAAAATGATATCAGAAGCATGTTGGGTTTTGAGTGTTACTTTAGTTCTTTTGCCTCAAACGCAAGAGGTATAGCAATTCTATTTAATAACAACTTTGATGTTAAAATGTCTAAGGAAGAGGGACATGTGGGTGGTAATTTTCTTCTCTTAAATTTTATTACTGAAGAGAAAAGGTTTCTGTTACGTTGTATATATTGACAAAACAATTAAAACCCTGATTTTTATGAAAGATTACATGAACATATTAATGACTTTAATTGTGAAAATGTCATAGTGTGTGGTGACTTTAACCTTGTATTAAATCCTGATTAAGATTACTATAATAATAAACAATGTTTTTGGAGTAGTTATATAATATTTTGGCATGTTATGATTAAACTTGCATGGATGGTGCATCTAAGGATGAAATATTCTAGACTTGCTTTGGATGTTGGAACTGACCAAAATTTTCTTGATTAGTAAACAGGTTAAGAGTTTTGAGCAGGTCTATTTCCAAGTAACTATGAATCCTTCTTAAACCAAATTTTTATGGATATTGATCTTGGGATGAACACTAACTATAAAAAATATGATGTGAGATTTGCCTTCCTTATAGATAACCTTCGTCGAGGTGAGCTTCGTAATCTTTGATTACCTATGTTAATTTTTTATTATTGTCGACACCTAATGAGGTTTCGTAAAACGTATAAGCAATGATAAAACCACTCGTAAATTATGTCCTTAAATACCAATTAACTGGACAAAGAAAATTGTTAACTCGCTGTTATTTCGAAGATAATTAATTAGCTGCAAATTGTTAACCAAGGAAAGGTACAGGACTATATTTTTTTTACCCCACCAGTGTAAACAATGAAACTAAGAGTTCACACTTCAACGCTCCATTGATCAAAGATCGCCTTTATTTTCATTGCTCCAATGAACAAATAAAATCATTAATTTTTGTAAGATTTAGATATAAAACGCAAGACCTTAAAAGGTTTATAAAATAGGAAAACTCAGACGCGGATATTAATCGTCGTGGGCCAGTTTATCATTGGCGATTCGCGAATAAATTATGTTGCGTATAATAATAATGGGTTTACAGTAGTCCGTCTGCACTGAAAACAAAAACAAAAGAAACTAAAAATGTGTGAATAATGAAAACTTTCAGACAATGTGCAGTTTCTTTTACTTTGAATTCCGATCTTTATCGTCGTTTCCAATTCTACTTTTTTTTTTAATGTTCTTTACATTTTGCAATCCCATAACCTGTCTATTCCGACATAAATTTTGTCTTCAGGTGCATGTCGGATTAGTCAGGTTTCACTGTACATAATTCATCTTTTACATCATCATAATCCGGTTCCGGTAGTTCTTCAGCTGCTCGTTCAGAAATAAGGTCCACCTTTGCTTTAAGGCCGTCCATTTCATTATTCTGATGAAAATTATGATAAAGTTATTAAAGTAACTTGATTAGTGATAATAAAAAAGATGAATAAAAGGTACCCCGATCGATCTCATTAAGGCGACAAACAATCAAATTCAGTGAACAGGGCATAAGCACAGTCTGGCCCCCAGGAATTCCAAAGGTGGGACCAGGTATATATATATATATATATATATATATATATATATATATATATATATATATATATATATATATATATATATATATATATATATATATATATATATATATCGGTTGGGGTCGTTTCAAAGATCATCATGAACATGATCTTCTCAACTGGTGGATGATTGACCCCACCTTTGCCAAGGTTAGAAGATTTAAGACAAAAATTACATTGTATACTCTCTGTATTTACCTGTTAAATTCTTGTTTTGATTTTGTATGAAGAAAACTGTATATACATGTTTTTACAATAGTTTTTTGGCAAACAGTAGTTAATATAGAGTTTGTGTTCTGTTATTATTATACATGTATGTAAGAAATATTTTATATGTGTAAAGAACAATTGTCCATATTTGTTGGAAACCTTTGATGCTTATATTAACTACATTTTTGTTGATTGATCAAAATCTTTACTTTGATCAATAAAACACAACTTCAATATACATATGTGTTTTGTCCCTTTTTCATAGCAGTTGGGAAAAGAGGAGGCATAAATATATATATATATATATATATATATATATATATATATATATATATATATATATATATATATATATATATATATATATATATATATATATATATATATATATATAATATTGAAAAATATATAAAACTACTCTTTAAGATGGGTTTTCACAGTGAGTTACTTGTGGCATAAATTAAATTAAAAAAAAAATAATAATAAAACCTCTCTTTTATGATGGTTATTCACACTGAGCTACTTGTCTTTTTTTTCTTATTTATATACATGAACTTACCTCAATAGGTGTTTCGCCATAATCGGGTTCCGGAACTTCAAAATGTGGTTGATCAAAGCCAGCATAATAATTTGCTTGAAAAGTCCTTTTATTGAATGTCTTCTGAAATGTGATTTAAAAAAGTATATCATGAAGCATGTAAGTATTAAAAAAAATTCTGAATAAATGTACTACATGCTATACACTTGGAGCAATTCCAAGCAAATGCACCGGTTTTCTGTTTACATTTGGCAATTAAAAGTATATTTTTAGGAAGAGCTTGTGAAACACGTAAGATAATATTTTATTACCAGTATACCACACTACATGTACATTGTATTTTGTCATCTTAAATAATTATATTTAGGCATTTTTCTGGCGAACAACTATATGAAACAGGAAAATACATGTACATGATGTACATCTTCCATGCGCGTGCAGTGCAGATAATCTTAGTATGTACATTTATGGTAAGTGCTTTGGATTTGAGTATTGCACGTACAGTACCCGCATCGTTAATCTTTACAATTCTATCGTGTCCAATCGTGCGTTTATTCTATCGTATCGTGCATGTATCCTATCGTATCGTGTTTTCCGTTTATCAGGTTTTGCGTTTATCGTGAAGATCGTTTATCAGGTTCTATCGTGTATCGTGTTTTGCGTTTATCGTGTGCATTCAGAAACCCTCGCTTTTTATCTTTACCTTGAAAAGAAACACCCGAGTTATCTCGAGTTCATTTTTCGTTTTGTTAATTTATTTAGGATCAATTTAACTGTTGAACAAAAAGAGAAATTAATACTCTAACTCTGGTATATTTGTTTAAGAAAATAAATAAATAAATAAAATATTATATATTATAAATAAATCCCTTTACACAGTCAGAGTCACAAAAGCAAGATCTTTATTAACTTTGTTTTGATAATTATAGAAACATAAAACATTAGGTATATGTAAAAAAAAAAAAAAAAAAAAAAAAAAAAAAAAAAAAAAAAAAAATTATGAATGAAAAAAGAAAATAGCAGCATCTGTATTAGATTCATCCTTTTTTTATCAATAACAGAAACATAAATTTTGTCTATGCGCGCAAGTTTTGTTGTTCCGTTTTATTATTTTTTTTTATTCATTTGTTTCTATGTTTATCTACAAGTTTAATGACAATTCATTAGACATGAACATGCTCCATTCAAGTCTTCATCTGATAATTATATGTTATAATATAGATGTTTGCCATTCATATTTAATTACTGCACTTAGAGATTAAAAAAAACAAAACCAAAACAAAATAAATAAATAGATAAACAAAACCAGACTAATTTTTATTATACAACTTACCTATTTCGACTTGGAAATGAACTAAAATATACCTAACTAAATGACAAGTGGAAGCGCCCCGTGACAAGAGAACTGACACCTACATTGTATATGTACCTGCCTAATCAGTACACGGTCTTCTTGTCAGGTCAAGACCCCCCCCCCTTTCCCCAACATGACTGACCCGTGTGTATTCAACGTAGACATACCTGAACTCCTCTCTCACCTGGTGTCAAGTATTTACCTTGACTCCTACTGGGTTTCAATGAAATACATCTACTTATTTTCTGGATATTGTTCATAATTTGTATGAAGAACACTTAATTAACAATAAAGGATTTTATACTAAGAAAACTGGTAAATGTACACTTCCGTTACAGATCAAAAATTGAATAATTGAATCAAATAAAATATAGGCGAGGTTTGTCCCCCAAACTCCGTTGATTTAGTTCATTTGTATACTTTTGTGTAATTTTTATAGGTTTACAGTCATAAAAGTGATTGGTGTAATCAAATTAAAAAAAAACTGCGCTCATGGTACTGTAACAGCACTTCTGGATCTTCGGGTTTTCTGTGTTGTCTGTCGTTGTTAAAGGCGTCTCAGAGATAAATAAAAAAAGAAAAGAAATCGCTCGGTTCTGCCGTGATACTCAAGACTGGTAAATACCTTGAATTTCATTTTCTTAGTGTTTATATATCGATTGCATTTAATACATGACTATATTGAAGAAGTCAGATTTTGATTTTTGAATCGGACCTTCTTTTTTTTTTGGAATGGTTATGGTCCCCCTTCCCTTCTCCGCTGACTGTGCCTTAAGTGGGGTTAAGACTTTCATAATTTACCAAGTTTTGTCTAATTTTGCCGATGTTGTCCTATATAAGATAAGTTTTGTAACAATCAATACAAAGTCTAATAGCAATAATTGACAATTATTCAATCCGAAAGTCCACTTTCATATTGTGGAAATTGATTTATTATTTATTTTTTGTGTGTGTTCTAGTATGTTGTAAACAAGTGTATGTAACCATTCAATGTTATTAATACAAAGTTTAAGTACCCAATAAATATATTCACATACATTGTAGGCTTAGCATACACGTGTCTATATAGATACAAATTCTGTTATTGTAAATGCTTATAACACAAGCACGCGTAGAAAGCAATACCATTCATTTGGGGGCCGGGGGGGGGGGTCTAAAAAGAAATGTTTTGAAAAGCAAATAAAAGAGGCTAAAGACTTTATTATTGTAGATGGGCAATATTATATAAGCATTATATTTCTACTGTATATTACACAAGTTAGTACACTGTATCATTTTTTGGTATACGACTGCATGCTCCCTTCTTAATCTTACATGCCTATAACATTAAAAATACCAGAATAAATACAAAAGAATGGAAATGCGATTTTTTTTTTATTAATAGATGATGACAGATCTTGTGACGTTCATTAATTTTTATTAAATTAGATTTCTTTCGGCCGGTCTCCTTCCTCATATATACATATACAATGTATGTACTTGGAATAAATAATTTCTACATGTATATGTGCACGGGATATGTGTGACATATGTATTTTATATAGGATAGATTATTTAATCACAGTCCAGTGCACATTCTGTCTCAATGCAACTAGCAATTTCAGCAAGTTTAAAAATATCAAATTAATTTATATAAAATATAAATTAAAGGAAATTCGTAAAAACTTGTAGGAGAAAGCGTTAGCTTTTAATTAATTATAACAATAATTTTTCATTTTTTCCCCTCTAAATTATGACTAGTAATTTTTTTCGTAAAATTTGAATTTTTAAATATAAGCTATTAAAGCCGATTTTGGATACATCGCAGACTTCTAGCAAAAGATATTGAATCCAAATATTTTTTTTTTTTTTTTTTTTTTTTTTTTTTACATTTCTTCCGTAAAAATAATCAATATTTGTTATGAATTTCATAATTTATTTGTTAAAATAATGAATATATTTATAGCGTTTCGTGAATTTATTGCATTTGGGTGTAAAACATCGCTAGTCTACGGAATTTTTGACACTAACAAATTAAAAAATTCCGTAATTAAACGACTCAAAATTCAAATTTAACGATTCGATGGAATTTCGGCATTTTTATAATAATTACACAAAAAATCGCCTAATTTACATCATAGAGTGGAATTAATCTTAAAATATTTACAGTCTGAATTTGATGACGATCAATTTTATGACAAAAAAACCCCGTATCTTTTACAAAGCATCATTACTTCAAATGTTTTATCACGATAAATTTAAAATGTTTTATCATTTCGAATTGCGGCTTTGTAAGTAATTAAAATTATCATACTACAGTATATCAAAAAGGAAACTTTTCGTCTTGTCAAAAAACGTTTCGCATTTTGAAACAATCCTATCAGGTTTTGCGTTTATCCTATCGTGAAGATCGTTTATCAGGTCTATCGTGTTTTGCGTTTATCGTATTTTGCGTTTATCGTGTTTTGCGTTTATCCTATCGTGCGTGTATCCTGTCCTATCGTGCGTGTGTCCTATCGTATCGTGCGTTTATCCTATCGTATCGTGCGTGTATCCTATCGTATCGTGTATCTTGTAAAGAATAACGATGCGGGTACTGTATAGTTTCATGTTTTAAATCAACATATACTTGTACGTGCAGTGTATATCTATCATATTTAAAAAAAAAATCGTTAAATGTTCTTTACGTCTGAACATGCAAAGAATATACATAAGAAAATTGGTGCTTACAGTTCAAATATTTATTTCCCCCTTAAAATATTAAAATCTGCCAAGGTATATTGATCAAAAATAAAAATAAAATGATAATATTAATAAATTCACCAAATCTGCAGGTCAGTTTCTTTTCTGTAAAGCACTTCATGAATTATTATTGCAATTACGCATAAGCAATTAAAAAAATATTCTTTCTAAATATCCTACTAAAAAATTAGCAACTTTTCCTTTTTTCACTTTTATGTGTAAATTTTATTTATAGCACATAATTGTTTTTACAAATTTGAAAGAACCTGTTTAGCAATTAGGTCTGACCCTGATAAGTCCCTCCCTCCCCCCATACAAGAAAAAAAAAGAAGGAAACTGAAAGAACTACGAACGCTAACTCTCGATTCCCGCCTACATTTTAAACCCATTTAATTCAATATAAATGGCAATTTAGTCATTAAAAGTTATTTGAATGCAAAGAAGAGGACATTAGTAATTGATTAATAATTTTCAAAAGAGTGTCAAAAAGTAAATTGTTCTTATTTACAGGTCTTTTCAGAAGGGGGATCGAAAATTTTATCCATTAAAATTGGGATTTTTAACATCACCAGGTTTTCAGATACTCATAAAATGGATAAATAACCTTTAAATCTTTCTGTATATTTAATCTATGTAAAATTCAACAAATATGATTGATAAAGTACATTTATTTATAATCTCAATTGAAATTGTTAAAAAAAATCACCAGGTCGTTGTTTTTGTCAGGAAACATATGCCCCCCCCCCCCCCCCCAACACGTTAAACAACAAAAAGCGTTGGCATGAATTAGGGAAATAACAATTCACAATGACTGTAAAAAAAGGAATTTTTGGTTCACGGGTGGGGGGGGGGGGTTGAAAATGATTTCCGTTGATTTCTATAGCGAAAAACACAAGTTTTACCAAAATTGTAGAATTATCTCTGTTTACCCAAGTAAGTCATCTGTTATGAAAATCACACAAATATCTAAAATTATGAGAAATCATTCAAATATATCAACTTTTGAAAATTGACTCTGGGGTAGGCGACAGAACAGTACTATAATTTTTAATTCTTTGTCTGAGCCTAAGTGCGAAATCTTTATCAGCTCTAATTTTTTTTGTTCAACAAACAAGAAACGGTCTAGAAATTTAAAGAAGACGAAAGGTTTGATACAAAAAATAATAATAATGGTGAAAAATATTATGATAATAAAATCAAAGTAAAAAGAAAGAAAAAAGATCCACGGTCATTGGGCACGGTAATAAAGTGACCAAAAAGAATGTCCATGTTTTTTACGGTCGTTTTGTGCAAAATCGCGCATCTATCTTACGGATCACAAGACTGTAATACATGTAAATCTCCTTTATATCTTCCACAAGACATGCACTTGCAAAATCTCTTTTTTTATGCTGCACGCAAGACGAAGGGTTAAGGACAAAACGTGCAGCGAGTTGTAATTGAGACAAATTGATAATTCTTTTCCTTGTTTGTATTTCTTAAAAATCATTATCTAACTTTGATCAATAAATGAAGAAATTTCATTTGATTTTGACGGATTACCATCCCTACCCCCAATTCCCCAGAAGAGAAATCAAATGTCCAGTCATTATTTTCCTATGCCTCCCCTGCTCATGAATTACAGCCTTAAAAGACTTATCGCATTATTTTTCAAAAATCGTAATTTTATGAAAAACATTACCTACAACCTTATTTATTAAATTACTGAATACAATTAACGTTTTTGAAAGCATATCTTAAGAGATATTGAGAGTTGAAATTGAAATACAGCAATATGCATATTTCAATCGGATTTCGGCGAAATACTGCTCTGACGTCGTAGTTGAAAATTCAGTGATAGAGCGATGAGAATTTGCACACTATTACATGTAACGGATTTATCAACTACAAATGCAGCTTAATTACGGAAAATGCTGAAAAAAAAGGAATTCATAAAGTGCTTTTTAATTACTGTAGAAATATCAGCTAGTCGTAAGCATAAGCCTTTGAGATATTTTCGTTTTTTTTTTTTTTTTTTTTTTTTTTTTTTTTTTTTTTTGCAAACATTTAGAATCTGAGATCTGATTACTGCAATGTTTGTCGATCAAGAAATTATAATGTCAAATTTGTGAACAAAATAACTTAATACATGTGATAAGATGACAAAGCATATATATTGTGATGGCGAGTTTCTTCGTCTTCGTCGCATCTCCCTCGCTATCTTCGCTACAATGTTTAAAGATTTTTCAGATTTTTTTCTTGCTGATCGACATATCAAACATATATGGTGTAATATTCAATTTCGTCAAAATCAGTGTATATATTTTTTTTTTCTTCCAGAAATGCTTTTCTTAATGGAATAACTTAAAAATGAAAAAAAAAAATCTTTTGCCTTGAACGTTAAAAAAGCACAAAAGAATAGAAAACATTTTAACATGTAATATGTGTACATACATATCCAAATAAAATAAAGACATTTTTTTGTGTCAAACCTTGTTTAATATTCTCAGCCGTTCACAAAAAGATCTCATGCATTTGTTAACTTAATCCCCTGTCTTTACTAACAGTTTGATTTTCAAATGCTTAAAAGCGCAAATGCATTACTTTATGTGACTCATTTCATTTTAAATATGTGCCATATACTTGAAGAACATTAATAGTTTCTTAAAAAAATGCTAGCACAAAATGTAATTCAAAAATAAGGGTTTAAACTCTAAGTTGATAATTTAAGACAAATAAATAAAAGATGAAAACCATGGACAAGTAACATCATTTTGCTGAAAATTAAAGAAAAACTTGCTTTAAATATCTACCATTTCTGCTAACAAATTCTATTTCCTACATTGCATTATCTGTGCATTTATATTTGCAAATCACTCAACCTTAATAATGAAGTTTGATTTAAACATCAAATTATTTTGTTTTGAAACGATTGACTATAACGCCCAGTCGGCAAAATTTTAACAATATTTAGGCGATTGAAATAATTAACAGGTTTGACAGGTTTTAAAATTAAGGAATTAATGCACATAGGGCATTATTTCTAGCTAAGGAACACGGATGAAAAAACGTGATTTTTATTAGGTATTCGTTATTCAATACATCGATTTTTTTTTTTTTGCTTTCCACTTTTAATGAATACTAATCCAAAAGTTTTCAATTCTTCACAAAAAAATGCAATAGTAATATTTTAATCAAAGCGGATTTTCTAAAAAGCTTAGCATTTCTTTTGAAGAAAAATCTGAATTTTGTCAAATTTTTAATAATTTTCTAAATGTATGACCCCCCCCCCCCCCTCCCCCGATATTATTCTCACAATGAAATATATTTTCATATTTACATATTATTCATCACATCGCAGATTATTTGATTTGGTATTCGTGTCAAAATCTTTAAAAAAAATGTATAGAAGAATAACAGATAAGTAAATACTTACGGCTAGAATTCTTTCAGAAATCTGCGAAAAATGGCCTTTTTCCTCTGACATTTTCCAGCTAAACTTTTTTTTTCAAGCTTCAGTAAATTAGTTAACCATTCATCTCTATAACCGGTAGCCGTTTGTTTTGCGACTTCCGTGTGTCAAAAATTAAAGGAACCTGAAAACAGATCCCCTGTTCAAATACTTGCTTTCAGCAAACGGGGTCATTAATGTTAACTCAAAAATTGTTAAAGATACATTTTTTAAAGATGATTTCCCTTAATTTAAGCGTGTTATTTGGCAATAAATATTAAATACATGCAGGAGCCTTTTAAGTGTTCACACTTGATATGTTATCACAATGAACGCCGATCCTGAACGAGATGCTATTCCCAGGTCTTTATTATTTATAAGCTTTGCAGCTCACCAGTGCAAATAATTACAAATAAGCATGACTACAAGTAGGTCTACATATACAATAAATGCTTAATTCAACAATTTACCTAAATAATAATTCTTTTACATTTTTAACATCAAAATGTTGCAAAAAATTAACATTTTTTCTCGTGTTAAGATTTTATGTATTTTGTACCATGGATTTCATAAGCAGGACAGATTAAAGTACATTATATTCGTCATCAACATGACTCGAACATATTAAATGGCTATATTTTCTGTTTTTTGTTACTGTATCGGACTGTTTCTATTGCCAGTAGATGTGTTGACAGTCTCAATAAGTATCTAAAAAAAGAACAGTTTCTAGAACTGTCTAATTGAGAGCGAATATTTTGTCTTGCTTGGTCAAAAACTCGTTGCTTTACGATGAGGAGGTCTACACATTCAATTTTAATCTCTACTGGTCAGAGACCAGAAGAGCTTTTGCGATAGTAAGGTGTCCGTAAGACGTCCGTCTAGCTGTTTAGCTGTCCGTCTGTCTGTTCACAATTTTTCAAAATGCTACTTCTCCTGCAGTTTTGGTCTGATTTCAATACAACTTTGCAGACAAGTAGACTATATTAACACTTATTAAATCTTTTAAATGACTTTATGAAAGGAAGTGAATAAGAAACAATTTTATTGTTGAAAAACTGACATGGGTATATTGAAACGGAAAAGAAGGCTGGAGAAAGGATTACAGTAAGAAGAAAACATTTGATTCACATTTAATTTGGACACGACTTATTAGGAGAATCAAATCAAAATAACGGTTTCTGCATTCTGATTTCCACTGGATATATGAATATTTATACCAATCATACGGTAACATTTCTAAATTCCTTTCAGATTTAATCAACAGTAAACAAGCAAGATGAATGGATTACTTAGAATACACATTTATACAAACACTTGCTCATCAAAATCAAACATTCCACATGTTTTCACACAGAGAAGGACTGTACATGTATGTATGACCTAGTTTCGTAATTAAGATTATATCAAAAATAACATCCAATAATATCTTACTTTCTAAAGTCTATTTATAACCTTGCAATGGAGGGGATATTTTAACTCGCTTTTGATTGTAACAAAAAAGATATTATTTACAGCCAGATCAATGTCATCTGCTACCCTGCTGATTGAATATTGGTATTCATTCTAACTTGTTTTTAATAATTTTTGTATTGCTATAAAGTTAACTGATAGAATGATTGTATGTTGTTTATGTTCCATTTGAGAAGTTTTCATTCATATTGAGAAATCACCATTTACCGGTGAAGAGCTTCAGAATTAGTTTTCTCGGTACCCAGGGCCACTGAACTGTTAGGGTTCCTTATCGTGCCAGGTCATGCCGTTACACGGGACCTCGGTCTCATCCGAAAGTTTTGTGCCTTCCATCTCAAATACCTGATGCTTATTAGGGGAGGAACAGTCACTACCTATGTCAGCGTCTTAGATTTGATGAACGAGGCAAAAGGAGAACCAGATCACGAAGGGAAGGCCCCACCTAGGCTATCATGACCGGTTCAGAAATATAAATTAAAAAACGAAAAAATTCATATTCGATAGTTTAACTTCATTGTTCCTTTTATAATCTAAATATTGAGTTGAGTGCAATCAAGATCGGAATCATTCTTTCCTCGACTCAAAACTTGAATGCTTAATCAGTGAATGGAAGTCTCAGAGGTATACACAAAAAATTGAAAGTTTTAGAGATTATGTGACGTTACCTTTAACATACAGGAATGAAATAAAACATATGAAAATGATTTATGTTTCAATGATAGCAACAATGCTTAAACATTTACCTTTCGAGCGTTAATTTAATACTTAGGTGCATTCATTTGCCGACTCAAGCTTTGAAATTTGACGCTATTGCCTTGGTATTTTTTCTTTCACTTTGTTATTGAATTGTATTTTTACCAATAATTTAAATACAATAGGTATAACGATAATCAATTAATTGTACATTTTTTCTGTATTGAATGATAGTTAAGAATCACTGATAGTCGAGATAGGAATGTTTAATGATATCGCCTTTTATAAACAGCTGTTTTCTATTGTTTTGATGTGAGTGGTGAATATTTTGTAAGAAACGGGCCATTTAGAAATGTGCACATGTGCGAATAATAAAAATAATAAAAAGGAATGAAATGTGGTGAAAAGCATAAAAAAAAATATCAGTTAATTGTTTTAATTTGACCGGCTCGCTGTTATTTCGAAGATAATTAATTCCCTGCAAATTGTTAACTCAGGGAAGTTACAGGACTATATTATTTTACACCCAACCAGTGTAAACAATGAAGCTACATGTAAGAGTTCACAATTCAACGAACAATTGACCAAATATCGCCTTTATTTTCATTGCTCCAATGAACAAATAAAATCGTTACATTTTGTAAGATTGTCACAGTTGATATTTAATTAAATATTTTGTTAATAAATTATATTTGATTAGCGCGCATTGCTAATCAAACATAGCGCCGTCTGTGTGAATGAGTGCCATGTGTGAATGTTTTGTTTTGTCACGTGATATTTCTATTTTTAGTTTACAAACTGACCAGGTATACGAATACGACCAGTGGACCAATGACAGACCACTATTTGATAATTAATATGCATGTATACTAACTTCGTGCACTACATAAGCGCTTATCCCGCCAAATCAAATAACTATTAGATTTCTACCTTTACGGTGTAAGAGGTCCAAACCTTTATGTTTGAAGTCATCGACTTTCACGATGATGTGATAATTATATTTCATATTTTATAATACTGGATACCTGGTAAGATTTATTTCTAATGATGTAAATACTTATTAAACCAATTTCGATAATACGTAATTTATCTTTATTGGCAGCGACGTGAATTTTCATGTTGTGTAATTTGTAATTTTGTTTAATGTGCTGTATTTAATATAATAGAATGGGTTTCGGGTTGACGAATGCCCCGGCTACGGTTCAACGTGTCATGGAAAGTTGTATGGGTGAATTAAACTTAAGGAAATGTTTGGTTTTTCTAGATGACATTCTGATATTTTCAAAGACTTTTGACGAACACATGAACAGATTGACAGCTGTTCCAAAGACTTGAACAACACAGTCTGAAACTTAAAGCTAAGAAATGTGAATTTTTCAAAAACAGTGTAAGTTATTTAGGGCATGTAGTTAGCGAGAAAGGCATAGCAACAGATCCAGAGAAGACGAAAGCGATTTCAACATGGCCGATTCCTACCAACATCAAGACTCTTAGAACATTTTTAGGATTTTCGGGATATTATAGGAGGTATGTTCGTGACTATTCAAAAATTGTAAAGCCTCTTAATGATCTACTTAAAGGCCATTCCACGAACAAAGGTAAGTCAAGTAAGGCAAAAGCACCTGCATGGAGATGGGGTAATGAGGAGACCAAGGCGTTCGAGACCATTAAACAGAAATTGATGTCTCCACCTATTCTTGCCTATGCCGACTTTGACCAGCCTTTCATTCTTCATACCGACGCATCATGCAATGGTTTGGGTGCTGTACTCTACCAAATCCAGAATGGTGAGAAAAGAGTTATTGCGTTTGCGAGTCGTGGGTTAAAGAACAGTGAAAGACATTACCCAGCACACAAGCTGGAATTCCTTTCCTTAAAATGGGCTGTTACCGATAAGTTTCACGACTATTTGTATGGTAACAGGTTTGAAGTGGTGACGGACAACAACCCTCTTACATACATTTTGACCACAGCGAAACTCGATGCTACAGGCCACAGATGGTTTGCAGCACTCAGCAACTTCCAGTTTTCCATCCACTATAGGAAAGGTACAAACAATGCTGATGCAGATGGTTTGTCTAGACGACCAAATGAGATGGTGGAAGTCAATCCCAATGTTGTCCAGTCTATCTGCAGTGCTTACGTAGCAGACCGTGAAAGTTGCCCCTATTTTGAAAATGTATTCCTAACTGGAGAGGAAGATCCATTATCATATATGACTGTAAGTACCAATGTACTAATGAATACAGACGTTTTAGACAAATCAGATTCCTTTACTTGTGAAGCTAACGAGTGTCATTCTGATGATGCATGTGTTTTCTCAGACATTGACTGGGTTAAGGAACAATCACCTGATAGAGATATCAAAAGAGTTATTCAACTTGTTGAGCAAGGGTTTTTAAGATCTAAAAGAAGAGTCAGATAGTGTTTGTAGATATTTGAGAGAGATTGACAAATTGACTTTAGAAAATGGTGTATTGTACAGAAAAACTATTTTACAGAATGAAAATATTAAACAGCTAGTTTTACCAAGTCATTTCAGAGAAACAGCTTTTAGACTCTTACATACAAACCTTGGTCATCATGGACGCGACAGAACCATCCAGCTCATAAAAGAAAGATTTTTCTGGCCCAGAATGTTCAAAGATATCACAGAGAGAATCAAGAAGTGTGACCGATGTGTGAAGTACAAAACTCCTGAAAAGATTTCTGCAGAACTTGTCAACATTGAAAGTTACCAACCTTTAGATCTTGTATGTATGGACTATTTATCATTGGAAAAAAGCAAAGGTGGCTTTGAAAATATATTAGTAATTACTGATCATTTTACTCGTTACTCTCAAGCTTTTCCATCAAGAAATCAAACAGCTAAAACTACTGCTAAAATATTATTTGAAAATTTTAT